CCAACATCGCATGCAAATTCCTGAAAGATGCACTCTCTCCGAAGTGGGAAGGCCGTTCAGGTCTATAGCTCAGTAAAGCAGAGAAGGTCTAACGTGAAAACCAGAAACACAAGTGGAAATTCCACTGCCAGGCCCAGGATCTCCCACCCCTGCTGTCTACCTAAGCAACTCAGTACAAGCAAGGAGATACTGACGGTGCAATCCCTAGCACAGCCACTATCACAGACATGAGAAAGCTACAATATTCCGACCATATCCTCCTATCTTATTTGCAAATACATTAATATAGAAGGCAGTTCATCTTTACAGCCCTCAAAAGCATTTTTCCCTACCACTGTTGTGCAAAGCAGCAACATCATAGCCCTACACTACTTATATAGGCTAATATAACTTCTGTAGTTATGAAGTACTGACCTATCATTTCACCTTCAATATACAAAATGTTCCCTTTCTAATTAGTGACTTGAGAAAGGAATATTTTAGTCACCAAGAGTATAAAAATACCCCGTAGACTTCTGTTCTTAGCTGCGTGGGTTTTGTGCAGTGGCCTCTTAGCATTAGCTAAAATCTAGAGCCCGTATACTCTGTGGAAATCCCTCCCAACATGGCAATTAGTATCAGTCACTCACTTGACCTACATGCTAAACGTGTCCAGACAGAACTCACTGCTGATAGTTTGGGGTGGTAAGGAGTGGTGGAGGGCTGTTGTTGTTTAAGCACGAGAGAAAGACAACCAAAAAAAGCTTTTAATTCATTTTCAGCCCCACATTAGAGAAATTGAGATAAGCTTGTATTATGATACATCGTTATACAGAGAGATATGGAAAAGGTCGCCTGCCAGGATAAACCAGACCCGCAGCCTCTGAAAGCTGCAAGTGAGGAGCTGCTGCATTAGATCAGCTGGGATCTGGCCTAAGAACTTCATCTTAATCCCCTATCGGTCCAGGACAAACTGGGAGCAGAAGCACAGCTCGGGCAAGGGCATGACCAGGGTACAGAGAGACAGAGAAACCCCCAAAATATGGAATGGTACAGATGAAACAAGAGAAGTGCAGCAAAGAACTATAAATAGCCTAGCAAAAATACATTATCTACACACTGGTAACAAGGTTAGAATTGCCATGTGCCCTGTGCTCGATACTTTTAAATACATACATATATATATAAAATAATGCCCTACATTCCTTTGTAGCTTATCTCCCTAGAAGCAAAGAGCTAACAGATCTAGATGCATTTTAATGGTAAATTAAGTTTACCAGCAGTAAAAAACCATGCTGGAGACCAGCACATGGGTAGAGCCGAAGACACTACGGATCACTTAAGTCCTGTAGTAGAAGTAGCACTTAAGTAGCATGGGAAGCCTTTTCCTACCCTGCGCGTACATAAACACCACGCTACAGCACCAAGTTCCTGACCACTGGGAAAGCTCCCCAGGAGGAAGGCTGAGACCTCGAGTACTACCTTGAGCTATTTAAAAGCTCTTACGCTGGCATCGTCCCCAAATACCTCTCACTGCTCCTCCCGCCACTTCATACAGAGCCCCCGGAGCCCCCGCGCCGACTCCAGCGCTTCCGACATCCCCCCTCGCTGCACAGCCGGAGTGCAGCGCAACTGGATGGGTCCTGCCTCTGCTGTCCCTCACACTAGGCACCTAACACGGGCAAAACTAACCCAGGACAGCGTGAGGTCCATGTTGCATAAAAACTCATGGATAGGCAAGTTCAAGAGATACTTTGGCCTCTAGAGTCAAAGAGAAGCCAGTTCTGTTAAAAGCCCTGAAGAAAAATGATCACAAATGTACCATGATAAACCAGGCAATCTCATACTATGAAGAAATTATATTTAATAAAAATAGACCCCAAAACCTCGTGCATGCTAGAGCAAGCAACCCCAAAGGAGTACCATAAAATAATATAAAGGATGAGAAAAAAAAAAAGATTTTTTCGACTAGATTACCAAACAGTAACAAAAACACCAGCATTGCCATACAGGTTCAAATGATCTAACTCAGTGGCTGACCCAGACAGCGGCCCATGTAAAATGGCTCAGCTGAAAATAGGGCTTTCCCAATTAGATCTCAACTAGGATGTCCAAATGAAGCAAAGAAAAAAGGCAGAGCTTCAATGGTGACTAGTGCAGTGGGTCTCAGGGAGGGAGGGGTTTGGTTTTGTTTTGGCAGGGGGTGACATTGTCTTTTCTTGGGAGCACTGGGAAGTAATTCAGATTTGTTTTCAACACCATGAAGTGAGCTGTACCTCTGCAATGAAAGGGACCTGATCCAGTTACATTCAAAACTGGGTAATGAACATGAGCCCAGGGAGACTGGCTTTCCATTTCTGCACAGCACAAGCAGCAGGTCAGTAAGGGCAGGGTTGTGCCTGACAACTTGGGCCTGCTTTGTAAAAGTCTGAAGCATGTGCAGTTGTACTCAGAGGTGACAAATTGCGTGCTCTGAAAAACAAAACGAAAGCCAAAGGATTGTTTGATTTCATGACTACAGCCCCTTACACTGGCTAGCCACACAGTAGGCAGAGGTCAGCCCCGGCTTTCTCCTTTCACTTTGCTGACCTCCTGTGGTTAAACAACGTTGCCATCCCGTGTGTCTCACTCTCAAGCGGCTGCAACTTGTGTTCACCATAACAAATATTGCTTAAAAAAAAAGAAACGACACAGAGGATCTGACAGAGCCACCGTAAAAGAGATGAAGCTCTAGGGAGGACACTGACCCACGCTGAGAAGAAGGGAGCTCTTGCGAGCTGGACTCAGTGGCATTTCTCATCTCATCGCCACCAAAGATACAATAACAAGGCACTTGTACAGGCAAATAGGGCATAACCATAAGGGCAGCTCTGCACACCAGAGCTCCCTACTGGCTCCTGGAATCAGGCGCGTGTTCCGCTCACGGGTGTGAAGGACCTTCCTAAAACAGCACTGTGGGGACTCATCCAAAGCTGACTAATCTACTGGATTCTTTCCATTCATTTTGCTCAGTTTTGAGCCAGACCACAGAGGCAGTGAACAGGATAGCAGAGGAAGGAAGCCTAAGAAAGGAGAATAAAGATTAAGAGGGGAGCTGGGGTGCCAGTAGCTATAATAAAATACAAACCCAGTATTTTACAAAATGAAATACCTGCAGGAAATATCTACTGTACACGTAAAAAATAACTTGTAAGGCTAGATTAGTTTTTCCCTTATCATGAAAAGAAAGAAAGGCAAGTCAAAAAGATTTTTAATTGCATTTTTTTTTTTCTGGTAAACTGCAAAGCAGCCACATTAGCCTGTGGAATTAGGGTTTTCACATCAAACCCATTCGCTATCGGAGTCTGAGGGCCCTCCTGTAGCAGTGAGATAAAACCTGCTGGAAATCCTGAGCAGGTTTGTGAGCAGAAGCACAGCTCGGGCAAGGCATGGCCTCGATACAGCGAGAGGGAGAAACCCGAAGGCAGCTGTTACAAGGGACAAAACGGTGCTTGCAAGAAAACGTAACAGAGTAAGAAGTACCAGACCAGGATCAGACTTGAGAATCGCTCTTGGTTTCTCCGCTGATCTTGGGCCAGTCGCTCCGCCTCCTGTGTCTGTCTCATCCCTCTTCTGTCTTGCCTGCTGCCTACACTACTGGGCTTCTCAGGTCAGGGACTGTCTTGCCATAAGGCTGTTCAGTACCTACCACCTTGCCAGGGCTACACATCCCGCTATCATTTCGGCTAAGTGGCTCTTCTAAGACCTTGTGTCTCTGGAAACGGAGACAAGAGAAAGAAGAGACTCACAACTTTCTAACATTTACTTTGGGGGATTCAAGCTTGGGGAAGGGTGGGGTGGTCAGTGATTTTTGTATAGCCGGTTTCAGTTTGCCTGGATCACTTGAAAGGTTAGGAAAGCTCTATTCTCATTACAGCTGCTTGAACAAAATCTTGCAAAGCTAATAAATACTATTTACAACAGTACCAGGAGGGTGGTGGGGAAAGGAGAACACAGAACATTCTGAAACCGTGTCTACATGAGAAATTCTTTCAATGCATCTAGAAGCCAATAAATTAAATCCATACAGTCTTCTCACGAGGCACTTCTGTTTTAAGTCTTACATTGATTTCATTCATGTTGGCAAGGAATTGATTTAATCAAGATTAGCCTTAAGCAGACTAAAGGACACCCACCCAAAACATTGCATAAACTTAACAAAACCTGCTTTCTAAACAGATATAGTTAAACTAATGTAATTCTCCTGCATAGGCAAAGTGTGACAGGACAGTGACTGATCTTTGCTTGAATTCCACAAGGATGGAGCAGCAGTAGGGAAACCTACCAGGACTGCTTCCAACCCAAGGAGAAACCTAACCCGCTTAAGGATGAAGGGCTGAAGGAGGAAAAGAGAGAGAGTTAGAAGAGGACAATTCAGCACTCACTGCGCATCCCTCCCCTGCCTGTGCTGTTGATTCTTGTGCCTCCAAAGGCAGCCCGTGAACATGATTCTCACTCCCCTCCAAAGGCTTCAAGTGTTGCAGACCAGCAGGCGCGGAGCTGTGCCTTGGTTCTGAGCGGCATCGCGCCACAACTCTCATTCCTCTTCATTCCTTTTTCCCAAATAACCTATGATCACCCACGTGCTCCCACTGCCTCTGCACGCCCCGCTCCTCTGCAGCAGGTCTCTGTGCTCAGATTAGGGTATGTGTGTGCACACACACAGACCCACCAGCAGTACTCTGCTGGCATCATCTGCCGCCACAATTCATTCCTGTCCCTGCAGCACCCGACAGGAAAGGAGCAAAAGCAGCCAGGGATTGTGTGTTAGGTGAGGGAGGGAGTTGCAAGGCCAAGCGATCCCGTCCGCAGTCACCGCCGCACCAGTCAGTGCAGAAGCGGCTGAACTCCCTCTCGTTTGTGCTTTGGTTCACCGAGGATGACAGGTTGGGGTGGGGAGGGCAGGGGGTGGGAAAGGGGGCACCTTTGGTAGAAAATAATGAGGGGAAGGGAGGAAGTGAAGAAAAAAGGCCCTTTTTTTTTTAAGAGGTGGCATTGACTCTTCTGTCTATTTCTATTATCTTCAGTGTTTCATTTCCTTCTAGCTCTGAGCTGACCCTGTAGGAAACAAAACAAAAAAAAATAAAGAAAAAAGAAAAGGCAAAGGTTAACACCAATAGTTAGACACTTTTAAATGTGCATATCCTGCTTGAATTGGCTAATGCTAATAAGGTGCTGCTTATACCGGATACTTGTCAGTTGGAGCATGGTAATACAGTGAATTAGTCATCTCCTTGGCCTCAGGTTTAACTTTGGCACAGGTCCTCAGGAGACAAGTTTGGGGCATTATGGCTCATCCTGGACCTCAGAGGAGCATGGCTGCAAATCGAATACCTCTCTTCACGGTTGGGTGCATTTGCTACTGTTTTGTTAGCAAAGACCAAGACCTGGGCCAACATAACAGTGGCAAGACAGGCAAAGGTGCACTGGAGGAAAAACTGCACTTTGCAGAGGCCCTAGACTTAACGTTCAGGCTAAAATATATAAATAAATACATAAATTATGAAAGAACTCTGTGTTAAGTGGCCCAGTAAGTTTACAGGGCTGTTAAGCCCGAGTGCTGCAAACTCTGAGGCTCCATGGTCTGGGTAAGATCACTCCTGTGAGAAGCTCCAGCTCTTCACACCGTAACCTCACAGACAGCCCCGTGAGTCACAGCCTCACACTTCCACCCAGCTGGCAAAAGCATGTTCCTACGGGGGCACGCGAGTAGTACTTGAACACGTGGGGAAGGCAAAACTCACAGGTCACAGGCGTTAGGCTCCTGGCAGACGCAGCGTTTGGTAGCAATGTTACTAACAAACCATCCTTGCAACCGCTTACCCACTAACAGCGCCAACAGTTCTGCCTAGAAGCCCTCCAGATCACGAGCGCAGGCCCCAGCACAGCAGAGCCCCGGTCCTGCTGCCGCCTCCAGGCACCGCGACAGCGAGCGCCGCGCGCCGGGCGGCCCCTGCCCTCACCTGCGCGGCGGCAGGCCCAGCAGCACGGCCTTCTCCAGCCTCGTCTCGTTGGCTATCGTGAACTGCATGATGTCGTCCCGCTGCGCCCCCGGCACGGCTTCCAGGGACAGGGCTGCGTATTTGGAGGCGTCGGCGTGTCTGTCGTTGCGGTCTGCAAAGGAGACCGGGCTCGACGACTCCTCCAGCTGGTGAGGCTCTTCATAGATCAGCAGACTCCTCGACCTCACTGCGGACCAAGAGAGGAGACGGGAGAGAGATGAGAAACTGGCAGCTCAGAAAGAACATCCTGGGTCACATCAGGAACTGGAAACCACCAGAGCAGACCTAGAGCTGCAAAAGGTCTTTTCGTAGTGATTAACTGACAATTTGTTAGCTAAGGGAAGATACTACAGCAATGGGGCTGACAGATACCAAAAAGCTCTGCATTATCCACGGAGCAAGAGCAGAAGGAACAATCATTTTGATGCCACACATTGCAGGCAAATGGCTCTTAACCAGTACGCAATATTATCAGTTTCCCACTCAGTCCTTGGACCTTCTGTTGACACTTGTGAAGGAAACATCAACAGACATCAGCTGTGCTTTCTGACAGTATGAACATGTGGTACTGAGCAGAAACACGACTCTCCTGCTATCTTACACAGACTATTAGCTTTAGTTCCAAAACAGAAACAAAGATGATTTAAACAGAAGCACCGAGCAGACGCATGGGGCGAAGCTTTGCCCGTCTTTGCGAAGGCTCCAGCCACGGGCGCAGCGTGCCAAGCTTCCTGCTCCGGGGAGACGCTCACGCGCACGGGCAGCCCCCAGGCCGCGCGCTCGGCGTGGCCCCAGGTGCAGGCCAGAGGCCAGGGACGGGCATCTCCCAACGGGCACCAGCAATGAGTCAGACTATGGAGCAAATCGGAGCCCAGAAGTTCCCAACAGGAATTCCAGGAATTCAGGGGGGCAACAGGAGCCAGCAGCAGAGCCAGCAAAGGAGCAGAGGAGCAAGAGGAGCCTCAGTGGGGTGCAGGGGAGGCGATGTGGGAAACAAAGGCCAAAGGGCGACCAAGCACGGAGCGAGGCTGGGGAGGTCGTCACTTACCCACGGAGTCTGTGTAGGACTCTGCCGAGGGATGCGGCGTGGGCAGCACCATCTTGGTGGCAGCAGGGTAGGGCCCGTAGCTCTGCGAGACGCTGCCGAGCACCACGGCGAAGCAGAGCACGGCCATCTGGCAGGGAGGAGCGGGGCGGGCGGCCCCCGCGCGCGTCAGACCCACAAATGGCACGCGACGCGCCCCACGCCGACCCAAACCCTCCTCTGAGGCTGCCCCGCATCGCGGCACGCCGCGGCTCTGAGCAGAGGCGCTCGGAGGGACACCCCTGTGTTGTAGCGGGCGGTGTGCCGTTCGGGGGTTCATTTTCCAAATCTGCCATCGTTTTGGCCTGTTCCCTTATTCACTCCCAAAGTTGAACAGCAGACACAACCGCCATGTGTGTTTTACAGACACTGCAGGGCACTTCCAAGGTTATTTCTGCCATTGGCCCCAGTGTTGCTGCAAAGTGACATGAACAGAGAGGCTGGCAGCTCAGAAGGACAGCGTAGGCCTTGGATCATCTTCAGTTTATGGCTCATGCGTTGGAGCAGGGCAGACTTTCATTCTAATCCTTTTCTTATTCTGACTACTGTTACTGAAATAGGCTAGTGGTAGATTTACTGCCTCAGTCATAATTTTATTTGGATGATAAAGTTTATTTTTACTGGTATGAAAAGAACTGAGCATCAAAGGGCGCCCTTATTGTCATTTTAGAGCTCTGGGCACCATTTCTCACATACTGTACTATAAGAAATAACACAACAGGTCACTGGGAGCAGCATTTCTTCTTTTATCACTGCACCACCCAGCCAAAATCATAGGCCAAGTCTCCTGCAGAATTTTAATGCCTTCCCACAAGCATTAATCTTCAGCAGACAGTTTTCTCACCTAACTCAAAATTAATCGTCAAACTATCAAGAAAACAAAAAGCAATGTGAGGATTTGGAAGCGAAGGGCTTGGCAGAACGGGCGCCAGGCCGTGGGGCAGGGGCAGGACAACCTCCCGGCCCCGCAGCCGCCCGCTCGCTCCCCGCACACTCACCATGAGGCAGGTCCCCGTCTGGGTGCTGGCTGCCTTGCACGAGCGCGACACCTTCCCCGCCACCACGGCCTGCAGCCTCTGCAGCTGCTGCAGCAGCGTCCTGAAAAGCCAAGGTGACAGACACGGCCGTCAAACACTCGGATCTGCTCGCTGCTTACGCAGCTCTCCGCTGCCATTGGCATGCCCGGCAAGAACACAGCATTTCTGAGGAGCTACAGCTAATTAAAAACCTGCCCGTGAAATTAGAAGGAAGCAATGTTTTTAATTTTACAATCTTTTTTACGCGTGTTAGCACTAGATCTTTCAAAAAGATCATTTTCCACAACTAATGTCCCTGAAAAATTACTTCATTTGCTGTTTCAGAAGCCTCTTATTCATAAATAAAAACTGTATTTACAGGCAGACATACAGACAACCAGAACTGCTACATGTACAACGGACTAGCTGCCTATGTAACCTGGTTCTATGCCATGAATTCCACATGAGTTTTAGCATTATTTCAAAAGGAGCAGAAGCAGGTTTGTAACTACCCTTAACTGACAGTACAACTACACACATACCTCTTTTCTTGGAAAACCTGCCATGGACAGCCCTTTTCAAATGAAATTATTTAAAACCAGAGATAAGCACAGCCTTCATTTTCTACAAATTTATCTATTGAATGAAGGACTTCATTAGTGCTTGCTAAATACTCCAAGGGTTTGCAAAATAACCGATGCTTGAGGTGGCCACTCTGATTACACTTTTCTGAGGCGCCAGCCACAACGGGCACTCTGCTGTGGTCAGAGGCAGCAGTTCTGGACCCAGAGAGCATTATTCCATCCTTCTGGATGCTTTCTGTCATCACCAATTACTACACTCGGGATGCTAGTCACCGAAATGGGAAACGTTCTCAAAAGAATGACTGATACTGGGCTTTCCCAACAGTTTCCATTTTGCTTTGATAAAAGCTTTTTAGCAGAGCAGGAGTAACCCAAATGCCTGTCCTGAGCACAGTGAAGCACAGCACAAGCTTTCTTCACGATGGTAACTTGGCCGTTTCCAGTTTTGTTTCTCATGTCTCCTGCAGGTCGTCCTGCCTACGCAGAGCACAACCCACCCCCGGGCTCCCCATGGCCCCTTTGGCGACCGCGATGGCCAAGGCTAGAGCAAGAGGCAAGGTCAGCGTGTCAGAGAAAATGGAAGGATTATTTTAAGCCCGGACTTGCTAAAAGCTAATTGTAGGACAGACCCAGAGGTGCCTTTACAGCTCAATATACGCTTGTCTGCCTATTATTATACGCCTTTTTTAATCGGTGATGATCACTGCTAATTAGGGTTTAATGAATTCAAGGACTTCAGGAATGCATTCCGAAATGAGCACACAGCATGTTCACGGCACACATTTATCTAGGCCAACACGTTGTGCGCAATGTTTTAAGGAAAGATGTCTTGCACACTGCTGAGGGCATGGTGAACTCCACAAGTCACTACGAAAAAAATAAAAGTGATTTGCCTAATTCAGCCCTTTGTTCACAGGGAGAGAGAACACAAGCAAATTAAGAGGCAAAGACACTTTCCATCGTGTAAATGAGGCCACTCCAACTCCCTTCTCCTTTCTACATCTCTCCCCAATCCCCTTTTCCACCAATTACATAGCTCAGGGTTTGCAGAGTCAGACTTGCACACACAGTATACATGATTTTCTGGCACAGCATAAGCCGCATACAGCATTGCCACCATATGCTATGTTATACAGCAAAGGCTTCTTAACAGTGCAATTTCTATGCTATTATAGAAGCCTAAATCTTGCCCCCTTGCAGGCCTGAGTCACTGGGCTCAACACAAACGGGCTCTGCAGGAGGAGGAGGAAGGAGGGCTCCTCCTCCCCAGGCCCGGGGCTGGCAGCAGCCCTCAAGCGCCGGCCACTCTTGCCACTTTTTGTGGAGGTGTCAGTGAGAAAACAGCTAATGGCTGCGTGGAAATCAGCAGCGAGGCAGTTCTCCTCGTGGTGCTCGACTCTTTGCATCCAATTTAAAAACCCTCCAGGGCAGAGTGGGCCCAGAGTGCTGGATTCCCAGATGCTTTGGTTATGGCAGTATAATTCCTCCCCCTCGTGCTTACGCAGGTGTTTTGGGGGCTCCTATACCACCCGCACCTTCTTCACCAGCTACATTCACATCGAAGGCCTCTCTGCCCCTCGGCGCGTGTCCGTGAGCAGAGCTGCCCCTTCGCAGCACATGAGGACGCCGCGCGGCAGCGCGGGTGCCTCTTCAAACTGCGAGCAGGACCTGAAGCCACAGAAGATACAAGTTCATTTGTTCCGAGATGACACAGCAGCCCTGGCTTGCCCCACCAGCAGCAAAATAGGGCACTCTTTGGTGCTTTCAATCTGTATTTAGACATGAATTGCTGGAAGTCCGAGGTTCCCAAGGTCAAAAAGGCTCCCCCAGAAAAGCTGCCTTTGCTGTGACTGCAAGGCTGCAGGGACAGGACGTGCTAAGCCAAGAGGGAAAAGGGGCAGTTCTGCCCGTGCAGGAACAGGGCCTGAACACAGAGCCTCTGGCTGAACTGAAGAGGAGAAACGCGTCCCAGGGCAGCCCGTGTGGGAGCTGGCACCCACGGGGATCCTTTTTGCAGTGTCTGACACCTTCCCCAGTGCTATTCAATTAGAGGGTCACCCGCAGGAGGTGCGAATGCGCCTTCACGCTTTTCCCTGCCAGTGGAAGCACCTCATCGGAAAACTGCAAAGTGACTGAAAACTCCTGCTCTCCCTTCCACACTCTGCCAGCAAATCCGCTCTGATGTCTTGATTTCATGTGCGCATCCACAGATCCATCCTCAGAAGAGCTCCCTTCTCTACCAAGGAAGGAACAAGTCAAGTCGGCTTCCAGTGACACTTTCACTGAGGAGGAGAAAACTTGTCCCTGCCAGACCTGATCACTTGGGAGGAAGCCCCAGTGCTTATGCGTAAAAGTCAGCATCGAATGAAACAAAACCAGAAAGTTTCTGGGGAGAAAAATCCAACGTTTACATTGATGAAGGTTTTTCAAAGAACATATCTACTTGGATATATATTCTTAATATAATAATATATTCAAATACATAATATATATCACCAAGTTAAGTTGATAACTTATCAACTTAATTTTCATGTATTAAAAAGGAAGAAAAACAGTTCTTCCAAATGCACTTCCCTCTCTGCCATTTTGCTGGCCTATTTGTAGGAAGGGGTGTATTTCTCAAGGTGAGGCCTTCTGTGAAAGACTAGAATATTTCAAAGCAAAAAAATCCCCAGGTTTCTCATTTGAATCAAAAAATGGGGAGGGTGTGGAAAGCAGCATTTTTCTTTCAAAGACTTTCAGCATAGAAACATCGGCCTGCTCCTTTAAAAACAAGCAGTTGCTCTGGGTCTCCAAGCTCTGTCAGCTATTACGAGAGTGACTGGAAGTAAGGAACAAGATTCCTTCTTGCAAGGATCCCCCTTGGGGGGGATAGCACCAAAATAGTGATTGGGACAGGGACCGGCCAGCCCAGCTCCTGGTGCAGCCGCCCATCCCGGCCCCTCTGCTCCTGCTTAGTGTCCCGCGGGCTCAGGCGCTGCCCAAACCAACGAGCTCCGGCCCCTTTGCAGCGCCAGGACGTGGGTGCTACGCAAGCAGTGACGTACTTCAGCTTTGCTAAAGAAAAATGTCTAGAAAGGAACTTGGATGGGTTTCTTTCAGGGACTGAGTCACAGAAATTAGGAGAGGAAACATATGCTAGTGTTCTAATACCGAAGATGCCAAAAATGCTGCAGTCACCCACTCGCAATAATAAGGATTAAAACTCCCCAGTATCTCGATCCCCAGCCCCCTGCTTTGCTTTTTGAGAAGCACGGGTGACAAGGCAGATGCTTCCGTGTGCAAATTATTTGGCCAAACTCACACCTTTTACAGGAAAAAAATTCTGATCCAGAGCTCCAGGCTAAGGCATCGTCTTAGGGGATTCTGCTAAAATCTTTCATGTTCCTCTGAATAATGTAGGAATGCTTTTTTTTTTTTTTTTTTCTCCAGGAGAAATTCTAGTGCTTTCAGGCTTCAGAGCAAGACTTTGAATCTTAAGCGGGATTTTCCCTGTAGTCTTAGGTACCTATCCATATAAAATGCATTCTATATATAGAAGAATGTTATGCTCAGAAAAGCTATTTGCACATACCAAAAGGAAGTTCTGCTGCTCAGGAGCGCTATGTTTTGGAAATTCCCCTTTAGTTCCTCACAACTCCAGCCGCCTATAAAGCCCCATCCTGACCGAGCCTTCAGTGAGCAGCTACAACCCAACTTTCCAGCAAGTCTTGGGGGGGAAACACTGTCCTTTGTCCACACTAAGGACATGAACATTTACACACGTAACCACAGCTGTCACTTTCCTGTTACCTTTATTCACCCCTCAGGGTGTTTTTGTTTTGTTTGTTTTCTTTTGTGTGTTTTGTTCTGTTCTACAGTGAAAGAACAGCTGTAGTGTTTGTATACCTATTTTTACATGGTATTTCCAATCATATCTGCATTTTTAATGCATTAACCATCAAAACTGCAACTGAAGTCAAGCGGGGCTCTGCTTTGAGTGTATTAAATATGTCTACATATATAACTGTGTGCAAGGTGCTTTGAAAAGATCAGATACAAAATGTTTGAATTTAGGCACCCAAGAAAAAAAATAACACTGCATAACTTCGAACTTCTTCAGCTTTGATCCTTGGCTGTAAATAGGGTGTAGCATAACCAGCCACAGGATGCTGTGAACACAAGTTCTGAAAGATTTGGATGGTTTCTGGATGTCACATCAGGACTTTGTGCAAATACCAGTGAGGAAATAAATAATTTTTAATTTGTTGTAGGAAGTGGATGATGTGCATTAAGCAAGGGCCTAAAACCATTCTCTGAACAAGACCAAAAGCTTGCACAAGTATACTATAAATGAGAGTGGGTGATTAAAAAAAAGAACACACACACACAATAGAGTGGTAGGTAGTTCTAGACTTGATGACATTTTTCAAATTTTGGAGTACTTTAATTTGCAACCTCAAAGTTCTTAGATACAGTTTTTATCCAAGCAGCTAAAGCAGCTTTGCCACGAAACACAAGAACTGCTGTGCATTGGGCAGAGCATCTGCTTCTCTGCAGGAGATGACAAATCACTCTCAGTGCTGCTGCGCAGGGGAGAAGGCAACGTGCCTCATTCCACACGCCCAGACTGCGAGGGATTCGGCGGTACTGCCACTTGGAGTACTGGCCATGACAGAATTTAGATTATGAAACAACAGAGAAGATGCTAAAGGTCCTGCCTAAAAGGAAGGACACATCAACAGAGCTGTTTTCATGACTACATCTGCAACAACTCAAGGATGGAAAAACCCGGCCAAATGTAGCCAAATTTTAATGGAGAAAACAATTCTCGAGGCCGCCACTGAGAGGTTCATCCACAGCTGCTCACGTTACGACTTCTGCACCTTGTCCTAGAGCAGCTGGTTTCCTAGAGCAGCCCTACCCCACACACCTCCCCAGCAGTCCCTCCCTCTTGTGTGCAAACCAGTGCGGGAAGATGCTCAAAGGAGAGCCTGAAATGCCTTGGCTCTCTCTGAGCACGCAGCAGAAGTCTTTCTGCATGAGCAGTGCGTGGGAGACGCTCCCCGGCGTGTTACAGGGCTACAGGGGCTGGTGGATCCAGAGATTGGCTCCGCGTATTAGAAACAACATGTGACACTCAATTAACAACACACCAGCTGCCAGACAAACTCTAGGGGTATTTTTCATGATCATGGGTCTTATCTTCAAAATCCAGCCTCCTCCTACACTTCAGCGCTAACGTTATGTTCACCAGTAATATTCAACCATCCCTACAAATGCCTCTAGCCATGAAGGTGTTTACAGAGGGCTCATCTCGTAGTTACTCATTGGAATTTGCCATCATTAGAGTGCACACAGAGCCTAACTGAGCATAATCATGACTGACACTCCTCTCTGTCAGTTAGAGTCCTATTAAAAGCTCAGTTGTTGAGCATATTCTGCCACATGCCCTTTGAGAAAGCCACCACTGAGTCACTGACTTATGTAAGCCCACTGATCAGAAAGGAAGAAACGAGTTGATTCTCTATCCAAAGGAAGTTGCACTTCCTGGCATAAAAGCAGCTCTGGGGTGTCGGATGATTAAGAAGGTGCTCCATAATCACAATGATATCTAGTCAAGAAAAACAAACCAATAAATGACTCTTATGCTTCAGAACTCCTGCTCTCCAGAGCTCCAGGTGGCAGTGCAGGCCAAGGCCTTTCTTCCTGAGGCCTCCTGTCAAGACTGTCTTTCTCTGACAAAAGACAATTTGGAGAGTTGAGTTGCATTTCTTTTGTTATCTGTCATAATCATTTTTTCTTGGGAGTGGAAGAAACCAAGGAAAGATGATAAGAGGTTTCCTGAGCACAACACATGTTTCGAGTGAACATTTAACTTCCGCTTTTTCACCTAATGCTAGTTTTGCCTCGGTCCCCTCATACTTTACCTGTTAGTATTCTCCAGGACTTCCACCTTCTTACGTAGCTCAGTATTTTCATTTGAGCAGGTCTCAACTCTGGAAACAGTACGAGGGAAGAAAGGATGAATTTAAAAACAGACATCCATTACACTTTAAAGACAGATTTTAAAACAAATCCAAATTGCTTTCACAGCGAGATCTATGGTCCTGCTTACATATAATGAAAAGCTACACCAGCCAACTTAACTCAGATATTTTAATCATACTTCACAGTGTAAAAAGCATTGCAAAAGATACTAATAATTGTATAATGCCCCCTTGCAGTGCTCCAAACTATGTCCCGGCAGATCTAATTCCTTCAGAATGGCTGTAACTACCCTTTGCCCCTTGCACAGAAAGAGTAATGGCCCTACTGGGATTTTCCCTGCGCAGTATGCCATGGGACAGGGCCTTCAGCAGTCACACAGCATGCTTGTGTGTGCTGGTAGCAGGTGTGTTGTGTAAAGGTGTGCCATATGCACACTTTATAGTTAAGATAAGGCACCACGCAATTTAACCAGCGCCATGCTTCTGCTATTGGATCCCTGAATTTCAAGTGTATAGGAGTCAATAAGCCAGAAGGTTCATTTCCAAGAGAACAATTTTGTTTCTCACAGGAAACCTCCTAACAAAAGGAGATTATGCAACAAAAGAAGTTCAAGTAAAAATATGGGACTCTTAAAATATGACCAGCCTGAATAGCTTCAAGAAAGAAAAAGGTAACAGGGAAACAGCTTTGTTATCTTTATGTGTACAGTGAAATTCCACCAAAGCCTGAGAAAGTGAGGGTCTTTCCTAAAGATAAGAATCAAAAGAACAAAAGGCAATTACATCAAGGTTATCACCAAAGATGGCACCCAGGGTTTAATAGATCCCTCATGTGAAAGGCATAAGAAAGCAAACAAACAACAACAAAAATTGTTCCTTGGAAGAGAGATTAATTTGGGCTACAAAGGACTAGCTGCGGGTTTGGGTCCTTCCTGCTAAAGTAAGCTGATGGATCACAAAGCTGTTTTCTTTACTCCTGTTTACTCCTCAAGACTCTTAACTCACCCACTCCCTATTTCTACCTCTGTTTGCACTAAAATACAGAACATTTCCGTTTTGAACTTAATTTTCCAGGGACACTGCCCTCCCCCAGGCCAAGAGAGTCACATGGGTAGAGGCCAACAGCAGCTGGGTCCTGCCTTAAGGCCTTTGCCATCACTTTAGCAATGCCTTTGAGGCAGACATGGTTCCAGCACGCAGCACACCAGCACGTGCACGAGCAGAAGCCAAAGGAAGGGCCTTTTCTCAGCCACAGCCACGAGGTGGCAGCTGGCACTTTGTACATGAAACAGTCCCAGCATCAACAGCTGGATCCGTTTCCGTTCCGGCAACTGCTGTTATTGGCCTGTTTGAAACAGGAAGGAGGTTGGCTTACTTTTTTTCCAGGCTGTCCATGTATTCCTTCTTTTTTCTTCTACTCTCCTGAGCAGAGATCTAAGAAAAAAAAATTAAAGGATGAAAAACACCAAATATTTGTATAGAAAAAAAGAAAAGTAAGCAGAGACAAATTAATAAACTGCTAAAAAGCCCTGACTTTATTAAGTTCAAGCCTCTGTGCTATTCTTAGTTCTATTCCTGGCAAGTAAAGCACTCACTTGGTCTCTTTCCACATCCTGAGGCAAGATGAACCCTCTCAGCAGTAAGAAAAGACTCATTCCCTGCTCTTACAGACCTTGCCTTCCCAACGTGCCCAACACGAGTCAGGCGCGTGGCTCCCACAGCGGGGCAGGCCAAGAGCAGCTGGGCCCTGCGCGCGAGCCCGCGGCCAGCACAGGGAGGGAAGGGCCCTCCCGTTCCGGTCAGCAGGCGCAAGGCCACGGCTCGAGGAGCGCGTCCCGTTCTAGACACCAACATAAACATCTTGGACACGCTGGAGCAAGTCCAGAGGAGGGCAGCCGTGATAAGAAGTGGGCTGGAGCAGTTGGCATGAGCAGGAGAGACTGAGAAATTTGTTCAGGTGTAGGAGAAACCTAAGGGGAGATTCTCCTGTCATCTTCAAGTATCTAGTACAAGAGCGCAGTGAAGACAAAGCCGGAGTCTTCTCACACTTGAACAAAAGGCATCAAATATAAGCTGAAAGTCTGGAAATTCCCATTAAGAACACTTTTTTTCCACTGGTTGAATATGGGAACAGGTTGCCCAGAGGCTGAGGATTCTACACCCATTGGTCGACTTCACTGGGCAAATCCCTCAAATTGCTCTGAGCAATTGACCTTGCTCTGAGCAAGGGATTGAACCAGATGTCCTCCAGAGATCCCCTCCGATCTGAAGGATTCTAGTTCTATGAAAGTGGTACATAAACACCTTCACGGATTTTGAAAAACTACACTGCAGCAGCAAATTCTAATTTAGTGCAGGCAAACTTACACCTTTATCTGCAAAATCATCAACTGAATGTGTTACAATGTGCAAATGTCCATTAGAACAAGTGAGCTGGCCAGGTCTGAAGAACTGCTTTCGTCCCCATCACGGGCTCTTCCCCATTTTGGAAGACAACGACTCCTAGGGCATTTCAGAGTCTGGCATCTAGCAGTCATTTGAAGGTCATGGAATTTATTAATCAAAAGACAAGCGCACAGAAGTAGGTGGGATTTTAAAACCTCCAACAGTGGACAAGAACACCTTGAACACCATGAAGAACACCTTCATCACCATGGAAAGAACAGAGAGGTCTATACCTAAGGGAAAATATTATACTGTTTTTAAAATGGAGCCAAGCAACAGTGATTGATGACCCTACTTGCTAAATACTCTATTGCTCAAGGGTACAGGCAAATACCTAGACACAAAGGTGGTAGACAATTTGATGGATGTGTTTAGAAACAAAGGTAAGTACTTTTATTAAAAACCTTCATACAGCATTCAACAGTACTACAGATCATTACTGCATAATTACTGCAGCATTTTTTAATGAAGGATGAATAGACATTAGCCAGCAAAGCTGCTAGGCTAACATTTACCTTGTTCTTTATTTTCCTGCGGATTTTCTTCAGCACTTTTTCCTCTGCTTTTGTAAGGGGCAGTTTGGTAGGGATCGGGTACCCCTCTGCTATCAGTGTCCTCTTCTCCTCCTCTGTCAAGATGAGTGGGCCGGTCCCCTGTAATTTCTGCAAATGGCACAGAAATGAAACGGTTGAACAGAAAGTGTAGGGAGCCCTGGAGGAAAAGGTGTGAGGAAAGAGAGCAGCTCTCCTGCTTCAGAGGGGACTCTGCCTCCTGCGACCGTAGGTCCTTGCAAGTGGCGTCTGGGCAAGGTGAGGACCTTTTACATGGCTTGCATTCAGACACTGAACATTTGGGACAGGATTCCCTCGAAACAATTGCTTTTGACCCAGGTCTGCACATCCTGAAGTCAACAATAAAACTACAAAAGTTCAAATGAGAAAAGGGTAAGTGAGAAGCACTACTGATAATCCCTCCCTAAAGATGACCTCTTGCTTTCCAAGAGAGCAAGGCAGTAGCCAGGGACAGGAGGCCCTGGGAAGGCCCTCAGGCAGAACACAATCCATGATAAGAGGAGCCACATAACACTGTGCATCCTTGTCTCACCTTAGCAGAGAGACACAGGCCACTCACTATAGGAAGAAAATAGACAAATGGAAAAGAATTATTGGATCTGAAGTTTTGCAGAGATTAAATAATAAAAAAGCTGGGAAAAGCCAGCCCAACTCACGTGTGGTGCAGTCAGGAGAGGGGAATTGGAGAGCGCTGAAGCTGTACGTGTAGTCACCTTAGCTGTGGCTTGTAGCTGGATTGGGCTTGAAGGAGGGAGAGACCTAGCCGGGCTCTGGCCACCTTCAGAGTCACTGCCGTGGCTGCTGGGAGGCGTTGGGGGTAAATGCAGAGGATCCACTGCTGAACAGCAAGAGAGAAACACAGCACTAAATGCTGAGGGGCTACTTCAAACGTCCACCAAAGCCACCACTGCCACCCGGCTCCCAGAAGTAAGTTTGCTAAAAGACAGATCAAGTGGTAACTCCAAAGGTTCTCAGATCCCCATGTTTCCCAAAGGAAAAAAAAGAAAAAAAAAAAAAAGCAGTGATCTTTAGGTTCAATGGGCAGAGCAGAGCTCTGCACACCTGCTCCATTCATTTCCACCCTCGAGCTTCTTCTCAAACGCTTTGCGGTGCACGTGCAGCTCTCCAGTAGCAGTCCACTCCCACAAGAAAGCAGCATGAGCAGAGAGGGCTCTGCACTAGTGTGCTTTGTCTCCCAAACCAGTAGTTTTTTCTAACTTCGATATGAATTAAATATTTTTGAGAGCACACACCATGTAGTAGGTGTTATATGAACAAGGGGGACAGAAACACTCCATCTCCTGGCACGCTGGCACGTCTGGGAGGCAGTAACCACGCGGTGCCGGTTTCCATGTGCTGATGGAGCAGGGGCAGCACAGGTCACCGGCGCAGCAGCTGCTCTCATACTGTGCACGCCAGTGCCACGAGCAAAACCTCTGCTGCACTGGCAGGCAAGAGAGCCCATGCCACAGCTGGCAACCCCAGTGCTGTTTATGACCAAACGGGTCGGAAGCAAGAGGAACAGGGCAACGTCTCCTCTACTTCGCAGATGTCCAAAACTAAGTCATTAATTCTCTGATATAAATTTGTGCAAGTGGGAGGAGGAAGATGCAGGGCTGGATTTGCCATCTTCCACTCCTTTTATGCATGCGGAATTTGAGTTGAAAAAAATCTAATGGGTGGTGGGGGAGGAAAGAAGAAAAATAGTAACAAAAAGCAATTATAGATGAGCTCTTCTTGGTTTAGTATCTTAACTCCAGCAGCTGCAAGAGGATGATACACACTAATGAGAGAGAAAGGCCCTTAATGCCACAAACTCAGCAATCCTATCTATGCCCTGCATTCGGATAAAGACTCCCTTTTCTCGCCTGCTAAGCCATTTCTTCATTTCCTAGAGCAGTTATACTTACCTACATAAATAAATCCACTAATAAAACATAAAGTGTTCCTAACTGAGATGCTGAGTTTGAGATCTCCTCAAACTTTTATTGGGTTAACAGATTATGTGCCACCGAGCTCTGTTACATTTCCAGGACAGGGATCATCTCTCTTCCTCCCTCATTTGTCCCCCCCAGGGGACCCAGATGGTTCTTAAAGACTCCACTGAAACAAACAGATCTGTTTTTGGCACATAAACTTTTAGCTTCATGTAGACTCACATCCTTGCTTTTCTATCACAAGGCAAAGTGGTTAAAACAGAAAAGTTCCCATTTTTGCGCCTCATAATTTCTATCCCTTTAGCAACTTTACAATCATTAGTAAGTTACAGCCAAAAAAAAAGGCATCATTTTCTTTGTGATGAGCATGGAAGAAAAATATATAAATAGGTCAGACAGAGGCTGGGTTCTTTAGCAGCCTGAGTCAAATCCCTAGAAAGCAAGGGCTTCAACCTGGAGATTGACATGGAGAACAAGGAAGCCAAATATTTAATTAGAATAAAGTATGTCCATTCTTAATTCTGATCATCTTTGGTGCATCTTGGGTTGGTAATTAACAGACCTTCCTTAGAAGACAGGTTCAGGAACTGATCCACTTCATGTGGCTCCAATTTAATCTCTGGAAGAGCTTTCTGGCTCAGTGGTTTCATCTAGAAAAGAGAAATTAATGGGCTGAGAACCCAAGGCACACATCCTAAAACCTTGATAGAACGATACAAGGATTACTTCTCCATAAATGGAGACATTTCTTTTTCCCCCTGCTCTGCTACAAGCAATTGCTTCTCCACACAATTTGCTAAGCCAGGCTAGAGAGAATACCGCCCCGACTACTCTTGCTGCGGCTTTTCTTACTACTATATTTAGCTAAATAAAAGATTATGCCTCAGAGATGACATTTCAGACTGAAAGCCAGCGTGCAGCCCACTCGGATTACTCCTCTTAGCAACAGCGCTGCTGCGAGGATTGGCTGGAGCGCCCGCTGGGCTCGCGCGGTGCCGCCGGGGCAGGGGAGGAGGCTGCACCCCTGAACGCAGAGCGCGCTGGCGCCTGGCAGGGACATCGAGGGCCTCTCACCAGCCCCTCGGGGGTCCCCAGGCGCAAGTTCAACTTGCAGGGTGGGAAAGGAGGAGCAGGGGCCGCCGCAGCTGAGCAGGGCTCAGAGGACAACCGGCTGGCCCCGGTGACGGGCCGGGGAGCAGGCCTGAGCGCCGCAGGCCCAGGCCCGAGGCAGTCAGCCTGGCACCGGCATGCTTGGCGCTGCCAGAATCCCTCAGTAGCCTGGGTAGATAATCCGTGTGATGGCACTGAGCCACCCGTTCATCCCAGGGTACTCTCTCTGCGTATCATGACATCCCGGCATATAGCGGGATCTCCCACGGGGGACAGCGCATTAGGCTACGGGCGGATTATGGGAAAGTCATGTTTCACTTTGAGTTTCTCATGAAGTTATTTCTGCTGCGCGAATTTCTGACCCACAACCAAGTGGGAATGTTTATGGCGAGCAGAGCCCAGCTCCACCCTGGCCGGCCTGACACCATACCCTGGGGACTGACGACAGCCACGCTCCTTCCTCCGCTCATGAGGAGCGCTGCGGAGCTGTCAGCTGCTGCAGTTTGTTCGCTTTAGCTCAAACACATTTAAACCAAAGCCCTTGTGAAAGCGGTGGCCAGAAAGGCTTCACGGATGTTCCTTACTAGGCAGGTTGGTCTGAGCAGCAGCTCAGAAAGTCACAACTTCACCGATGTGGCAAAAGTGACTTTGTAGATAAACAGGGAACCTCTCTGGTCATTTCAAATGGGGAGCTCATTCTGATTAGGGACAGGCACCGCAGCACTAAACAAGTCACTAGGAAGGACATTTTGTTTGTCACAAGCTCAGGAGCACAAATGGGTTAGTCAGTCCATGTTGGACTGTTTAAATTCTTTCAGAAACACACGAGCCCCAGGCTTTGGCACCATGCAGCAAAAAGGAGAGGGCTGTGGGTCCGGCAGTGAATACCTGAACATGCAGATGTGCCTTTTGAAACACAAGCTTTTACAGCAGCAGTGGGACACCAGCAAACACTCAGAAATGCTAAAGCGGGCGGCAGCGCGCAGCCTGAACTGCCAAGGAGGCTACGCTGGTACGCGGAGTCTCAGGAGAACCTGTGTCTAACTTTGCAGGGAGGAGAAGAGGAAGTCTGCAAGTACCAGGGCATCAGTGTGTAGCTCAGGTTGCTCCCCCTCCAGCGATGTGGCCGTGACAGTGAGGCTGACAGAGGGAGTAAGGCCGGCTGTCTCGCACAACACTGCCTCCGTCTTTATTGCAGCTGGAGTCAGCTCGGCACCCAGACACCACTCCTCGTTTTCCAGATCACCTGCCAAGGAAGGAAATTGGACACCACGTGTTTAGGTCAGAGGCAGACAGAACACAAATGAAAATAATGTCATCCCTCCTCCAGAGAAGGGAAACAAACACAGAAGGCATTTCAGACTATCAGCACAGCTCTGTCCTTACCATCCAGCTCTCCATCAGCGCAGACAACGATGCTGTTTCAGCAGGGCTGTAACCTAATCCTGCCCTCAGGACACGGAGAGGAGCAGCGAGGAAAGACGTGGCACTAATCACTGTGCACTGCCAAAAGCTGCCAACGCGTAGCAGAACAAGACTAGAGGAGGCTCCGGCACAGCCACCTGGGAGCTGTGTTCGAGGCACATTAACACTGGCACATTAACATCCTTGCAGCAGGAGCATTTAGCCAGACTCCTGCTCCTTCTAGTACTTGCAATTACCAAATAGCTGGAGAGGCTAACTATACCTTTTTTAAGAACAAAGAGGATTTTCCACTCTCTCAGATTCAAGATTTTTCCCCGTCAAGGATTCATTTAGTAAGCGTGAACTGGCGTCGATGATTCCGCAGCAGCACCAGCGTCACGGTGCTCGTGCCGGTTTCCTCCCCGGAGCACCGGGAGGCCAGCACAGGATGCGGATTGTGCCTGGCCGCGAGGAAACCTGCGGTGCCGGGCGCTGCAGCCACCAGTCACTAAAGCCGCGCGGTTTCTCTCGGGACAGAGCTGAAGCCTTTGCCCTGGGCCATCAGGAGCTGCAAGGCAGCAGGCGCACTAGCTGTTGGCTCCCATTTGCACTCATCAAACAGCCACTGGGGAGACAGGGGTTTTGCTTGTCCAAAAGAGAGAAAGGGAGATACCCTCCTGGGTCTGAAAAAGGACTGAGGAATGAGAACTCAAAAGGATTCAGTGTTTACAATAGTTCTGCAAAGTTACTAACAGGCCTAGTTTTTACTATGTGGGTGCACAGATGAGTTTTGGCAGTTGCAAATCTCTCAACAAAACCCAACCCAACCAAACAAGCCTCTTGCTGGCGTTCAGCAGTTTAAGACCTGCTTCTCCCTTGCGTGACGAGAGCAGGCTGCACCAGCTGCGCTGCATGGCAGGGGCAGACCCCACAGCTCGTGGCCATGCCTTGGGGAGCGCTGCGAGACGCACGTCCCCTAAAGCGGGCAGTGGCGACCCAAGCACAAAGACAACGTAAGAGAAGTGCTGACCTCTTTCAGTGTCTCTTTTCTACCCTCATACGTGGCATTTGCTTCATACCCGCAAAGAAAGCAGAGAGCAAGGGCACTCGCAAACGCTAAGTACAGCCAGTGCACGGCAGCACAGCCTTGGGTTAACTGCAGGCTGCAGGATCACCCCGCTCTGCACCCTCCAGAAAGGTGAAGAAGGACCCTTGCACATCTCACCATACTGATGGTGAGACGTTACCAGAGCAATCCTGCAAACCAGCAAGCAGAGCAAAATAAAGCTGCCGGCCTCCACGCTTCTGCTGTGTGCTGCTGCTGCTGCTGCTGCCGAGACCACAAGCGCGCGCTCACGCTCGCGCCGAGCGACAGGAAGGAGAGGGCTGCACGTCCCCGGGGCTGGCAGTTACGCTGCGGCAGGACCCAGCCTCCACCGCTGGCGAGGAAAGAGGTAATTTGAGCAAAGACACACCAAGGAATTAAAAATGAAAATACAGAGCCTGTAATCAGATGCTGCGGGGCAGCAAGCCCAGCTCTGCCAAGGAGGTAACGGTGCAGCCAGGGCTGCCCACCACGTTAAAGCTTCTGCAGCGCTTACTCGTGAAGCTTTCTGGGAAACAAAGAATACAAAAATAGAAGTATTTACCAAAAAAAAAAAAAAGTAGTATTGTCTAAACATTATCTCAGGAGAGAGGACATTGCTCTCTCAGCCCTCCGTGTCCCTCTCAAACCCAAGAACACTGAGTCCCCTCCCTACTGATGGCAATGAAATATTCAGCAGATCGGTGGCCTCTCTCGTTTGCAGCGCGTCGATCACTCAGATAAGACCTCCACGGCGGTGCCTGTGCCTGCAAAGGCAGCGTCCCTGGCAAAGCAGCTTTCCCAGGTTTGTTTGGCTGGCTGCTGCCAAGGCTGCCCCGCGCCGCGCTCTGCTCTGTCCCGCGGTGGCAGCGCTATCCCGTGGCACCTCCTCTGGGAGGGAAGGCTCCGCACACAGGAGCTACCAGCATGTGCGGAGATCAGCCCGAACCCTTCCAAATTTCTGTCATTATACAGGGAGCCTGGAAAGCTTGTCACGAGTGCCCAGTGAAAAAGGGCCCATCCACTAGGGCCATGTTTTAGGATGATCATCATTTCTCACGCCCAACTCACAAGGGTGATCTTGCTGTAACAGAGCAAGGTGGCCTTGAGCTCATCATTTTACTGCACTGGGAGGTGACTTCATTGGTTATGCTGGTGTCCCTGCCATCAGCACTTAGATCTGCACGCGCTGCTTGGAGTTATTCTAGGCACTAAAGCCAGTCTGACCGGTTCCTGGGGTTAGGATGGTATTGGAGATAGCAACATGCTGCACTTAACACTGAGATTACTTTGAAGAACTGCATCTAGTTCTTCTTTCTTTGACATTGCCTCTCATATATGCATGGTGACAGCTGTCATTCCAGATGAACAGCACTGTGAAAAGGGACAGAACGACACGTTGATTGAATCTCTCCTTAATACTCTGCTCTGCCCTTCTTTCCCAGGCCAGTGATACACATTCACATTCATTACCATGGCCAGAGCTGCACAACGATTTTCTTTCGTTTGATGCATTCAAGTTTCTGAAGCCCCTGGGAATGTCTCCTCCTATCTAAGAGACCTCGAGTGACATTTCCCACTCTTCTTCCTCCTATACTTGAGCACAGTCCATTGACATTATTTCAAAAATACTTTTAATTTATTCTTACAATACCCTACAAGAGCCTTAGTGCACTGCACCAGGCAGTGTGGTAGCAGAATAAAGCAGCAGCCCTTGTCGCAAGCCCTTTGAGAAGGCTGCACAAACCCGGGCATGTTCAGGCAGATGAGGGAAGGAAAACAAGCGAACAAAACACATGTGCAGGTGACACAGAATACAATCATAGAATCCTTAAGGTTGGACCGGACCTCCAGGGATCATCTAGTCCAATACTGGCCATGCAGACACCCACAGCACAGCCTTTAGGACAACCACCTTTCTGACAGACTGGTCTGGAGAGGAACAAAGATGCAGGTTTAACCGAAGGATTAGAACAAGCAAGAAGGTGAACACAAAATACTGAAATGAAAGGCAGGGGAAGGTGGCCCAACAGGCCACTGAAGAGAAGTGACTCCAAACCAAATGGGACATGGTATGTAAAGAGCAGGCTCTGGAAATCAAAGGCAAGGAGTTTAGAGTGGACATAATTCAGGAGGAACGTCGGGAGAATTGAGACAGAGTCCAAAGAACAGGGTAAGAAAGTGACCTTGGTGACTGTATTCTAGATGGATATGAATAGGACAATATTATATTGCCAAGGTCAGACAAAACACATTGCAAATGATTCAGATTAAAAAAAAAAAAAGAAAGAACTTGAACACAGGATTCAGTGGCTAAGAAAATCCGCATCCTAGGGATGATCACCTTGGCTGTTACAAAATAAACAGATAAGAAAATCTCTTCTCAGGCTCTGAAACCCTGTCTCCAAGGTTCACAGTTACAGAAATGGTACCAGCTGCTAGCCCCCTTCACCAGCCAAACTTTCCTGTGGACTTCAGAGCTCTCCTGAGCAACAACATTTCAGATGAGAAATACTCCCCCTCGTCTACCCGTTCACAAACTCTGGGCAGTTTGGGACAAGGCAGTATGTCACTGAGGCAGTCCACACGGTGCTTAGCATAAACTTTTATGTACAATGCACTAGCATCGTCAAACTGCACATGCAAATTATATCAAAAGCACTGAGGTATTAAGAAATAACTGCGAAGGTTTTATTCGGTGTGCTTTTGCACATTATATACATCTCAAAAATGAGCCTGTCATAATAATGACAATTTGTCTGCAAAACCTGTGCTTCCCATTCAGCTGGCAGCATGCATGGGGCTTCCTCAACCAAGTGCCTAGACCGTGTTTTGCTGTTCCTCTTGCCTCACTTCTTTACTATAGGTGATTCAAATCCTGCTGGCACAGAGCTGTTTGTTTACTTCCCTGCTAGTGCAGAATCAAAATGCGTCCCCAGTCTGAATGAACCTCCCTCCACAGCACTCCTGGGGATTAAGGCCAAAACGTGTGCAGTAACTTAAAATGCCCAACTGGAGACATCTAGAACTGGACTTTTCAGATGATCTAGCACCGATGCTATCCTTCACATCGTTGTCAAAACATAGTTTGCACTGAGTTAGGGTACGGCATTGTCTGCCTATCCCATCTGCAAATCAAACCTCAAATCAAGCATCCATAAACACAATTCATCACAACAACGGAGGGTTTGTGACACACATATCAAAGATTTTTTGTGGCCAGGATCAAAATTATACTTATTCAAATGACTTTCATGTTCTGCTTTTGCCATCAAACTTGCCTCCCTTTTCCTCTATTCCTGCTCAGCGAGCATCCTCCACCTGGAACTGGAGGGGGAGGGAAACAAAAATCAGCAAAACACTGGGCAAATCCACCCACATGAAAGCTGCAGCCACTGAATGTATTCTTGAAATGAAAAAACAACCCACACCACCATCACCACCATGCTAGATGGTAATCACAGAAAGCACATGTGTGCAGCGCACGTCACTAAATAAGCCTGCAACTGTAAGTTGCAGAGGCGTTCAGGGATATCTTTATCCCACCACAGCAACACCTTAGACCCAGGGTGTCCCACGCTGGGCCTGCACAGACTGAAACGACAGTCCTTGACCCCACAGAGTTCACTGTCCTGGCTGCAGATAAAACAAACAGCAGGAGAAAAACAAAGCTGGCAACATAAGGAGGCTACGAGGCCTGGTGCGGTGCTGAGGTATCAGAAGAGCCATCTTTGGACAAGGTACTTGAAGAACTTCTC